ACCCTGCTGATGTTGATTGAAGACTGGAGGTCTGCAGTGGACAGAAAAGAGCTGGTAACAATATTATCTGCTGACATGAGTAAAGCATTTGACTCGTTAAGCTATTCACTCACTCTAAAAAAGCTGGATGCCTACGGTTTTAATAGCAGTTCACTTGAACTGATTAGATCATTTTTTGATAGCAGGCTAAACAGAGTAAAAATAAATGGCCACACGAGTGAATGGAGAATTATGGAACGTGGTTGTCCTCAGGGATCGTCATTTGGCCCTCTCCTCTGGAACATGTTCCAAAATGATATGGCATTTCATATCCCTGACTCAAACCTTACGCTCTATGCTGATGACCACCAATTATATGTGACAGGAAAAACCTATGAAGAAGTCGAATCTACTCTAGTGACTCAGGGTCAACAAGCACTGTTATGGTATAGGGACAACTTCCTCTTGGCAAATCCAGATAAGTTTCAGTCTCTTACGATTAACCCAAGAAACATAGATGCAGATAAGAAGGGCAGCGTTCTCACCATCGCCAATGACGTGATCAGGAAAACTGAAGAAATCAAGCTATTAGGAGTAAATATAGACAAGAACCTTAACTTTACACAACACATTAGCGAAATATGCACTAAAGCCAGCCAGAAAGTAGGAGTCCTCATGCGCTTGCGTAACCTAATACCATGCCAAGCTAAGCTCATACTGTATAAAACAGCTATAATGCCACATTTAACATACTGTCATTTAGTCTGGAACTTTTGTAAATCTTCAGATGGGCGCAAAATCGAACGCATCCAAGAGCGAGCCCTGCGTGCGGTCTTCAAAACAACAACAGAGACATATGAGGAACTTCTTAAGCGTGCTAAGTTACCTACGCTTCATAATAGACGCTTACAGGACATAGCAACACTAATGTATAAAGTAAAGAACGATCTAGTACCCAGCTACATATCTGAGATATTTACTCGAAAGGGTACTCGTTATAACCTTAGGAATAGTGACTTTGAAATACCACGATTTAACACTATACGCTATGGTAAACACACACTAAGGTATCAAGGACCATATATTTGGTCCAAATTAGAAAATGGTATGCGTGAACTACCAAGCCTTAGTATCTTTAAAACTAGAATCCGTAGAGTTGACCTGGTCAGCCTAGTGGAAGACAGTGGCAACTGCTGCAATCTTTGCAGCNTAATTTAGTAAAAGTAGGTGTCCCCAATTAGCTCTATGAGCTAAATACATTGACACGGTAATAAAGATTTTATTATTATTATTATTATTATTATTATTATTATTATTATGATGGGCATATTGACGACGAAGTGTGATAATGCCTTCGCCGTAGTCCTTAGTATGATGAATGGATTCAATACGGCCATCTTCACGAAAAATTTGGAACCTTTGCTTGGGGCAACTGATCTTACAAGCCCCATTGTCATCATCTCCCAAGTCCTTTAGCGCGACATGCTTCAAATCAATCACGAAGGTAACATTGTGGTGGGCAGCCACTGGTTTCACTTTGCAGACTTTTTTTCGGTCGAAATCTTGGTCCACGATAATTTAGACCAGTTCTAATGACGACAATCCAGTAGTTACTTTTTTGTAGATTGGTAATCGTTCTGCTTCGTCGTAATAATCGGTGTACTCTTCCCCACATGGTTCCTCCTCCGACAAGATCTCCACGGAATCCTCGCTGCTTGACAGATCTTCAGATGGATTTTCAAAGTCTCGCGCTAAGTTTCTTCGCACGCAAGGATTCGCCTGAGCAGCAGTAGGTCTAGATTCTTTTGGATTAGGACTTTTCAAGTCATTATCTTTTACTGGATAAGGGCATCGATTCCTCTTCATCTTTTCTGCTTAACCCGCGAAACGAAGGCGACAGAAAGGCGAGACAGCGGCGATTTACGTCCCGCCTTTGCTCACATGCTTCAGTGAAACTCATTACATTCTATTTTTCAACTTATTTTCCGCGTATCGGCGGATTTAGAAAAGGTAATATTGTAGGCTTTGCTTGTCTCACTACAGAAAATTACAAAAATTGTTACTTAACAAATTACTTATATCTATACCTCTTATGATTATTTTCTTTAATTTGTTGGGATTTATTTACCAGTACTTACAGTCCAAGTTGCTTACTATTTCATTTTAAAAGGGGGTGTGACTAATAACGAAAAAAATATTCTTGCGCAAGAAAATAAGGAGAAGGAAATCTTATACAAATAAACACGGAAAAAATTGCAAAGAAGTCGGTAAACAAAACAATTACAAGTACCAAGGCAGGAATGAAAATTCTCCCCCGCAAAAAAGTGTCCACGCTCCCACCCCTCTCCCTCTAAACTCAAAAATTAAATGCTCCGTCCCCAAACAGAATAATTCGGGCAACAATTACAACTTTTATTGGAGCGGTAATATCTTACAACTTTGCCTCGTATCTTTAGTACCATTTCGTCATTTCGCCGTTTCGCCATTTCGTGTTTTAAACACGCCCCTGACTGGTTGCTTTTCTCGTCTTATTAGAAATGCGCATAGAATGAAGCATTTGACTAATAAAAAAACTTATAAGACATTTTGGTGTGTTGGAACGCTTAGCATTTTTAATCGTTTGTATTTATCGGTCTTCTAAATACGGCACGGCTCATCAAACTCCTATACTACAAACTAAAACGTTTTTTGAGATATATATCTCGCGTTCGATTAGGATTCTCTTTCATTGGACTGTTACGTAAGTATCTCGCGCACTCGTAAGATTCTCTCTCATTGGATTGTCACGTTAGTATATGGAGCACTTTAAGAATTCTCTCACATTGAATAAGACCTATAAATATCGACCAATTGAGGCTGGCCCCGCTTTTTGGTCTATCAGTCAGTATCAACGTTACTTTTACGCAATTGCGTCTATTCACCAAAAGGTTACATCTTGTCTCCGTTTAGCCTTCTAAATCCATTAGATCTCTTGCTGTATAATAAATCCGGTTCGGTCGAAACATTCTCAATTCATCACTACTTTAACAAGTGTGAATTCGTTTATCGACGAAAAGGAAAGAAAATAGATAGTACAAGGGACCCTGCACTTTAGGTCGTCGAGTGTTGATCCTGTGAGAATTCAAACTACAGACCCGGCGATTTCGCGGATAGTTAGATGCCACAGGATTTGTAAAACCCGTTGAGGTAAAGGAAAATGATTTGGCAACATGTGAACTTAAACATAATACAGTCAATCAACTAGTCAAAAGCCGGCATTTATTAAGCAGATTAGTATGCCTTCTATTTCCGAAGATAAAATTACAATTATTGATTGTATTTAATGGCATTTTACAATGAGCTGATTATGGGTAAGAAGGTTAGGGGTAAATAGGAGATTTGCTGTTAAGGAAAAAAATATTGGCCAAGATTTTATATACTATTGACCACTTTCATAAATGGCTGCCAGATTGATATTCTTTTGTTTAAATTTAAATTAGCCTTTCTGGCCTCGTTCTCCAGTTCAAAATTCAAAAGAAGCATTATCTCAAGCGAGGCAAGTGAGGCTAATTTGAATTTAAACCAAAGAGTATCAATCCGGCAGCCATTTATGAAAGTGGTCAATTGAGTAACTTTTGTACACACTAAATTTGCACGTTCAAATTCATGTAGCCCAATCTTCTCTAGTATTCCGTAACCTTAAAAGTTTTCCCCTACGTTTTCGGCAACTCAAACACCCCATGATGATCTATACGTGGTACGCGAAAGAGATTTCCTATGGAAGCCACGGCAGTATTTCACGTAGCTAGTACAATCGTACTTCTCCCCACCCTCCCTTCCCCCCACCTACAAGAGCGTAACGTAGAAGCAGACAAGAAAGTGTGTTGTTCCTCGTAATTAATGTCCAATGTTCTAATGTCCAATCCCTAGTTCCTTGTACATTCTGCAGTCAAATGCTTACCTATTATATGCAGATCAATTTTCTTTTGTTTTTTTTTTAAAGTGGGTTTTCTTGAGACGTTTCCGCGTGAAGGTAGTGAATTCGCAGACCTCCTATTTTAGCATCTCGTTTTAACGCTCTTTTACACCCTTTGTTTATACGGTCCATCATCAGAGCCTCTATTATGTTCCATTCACAATTTATCTGTACAGCTTTCACACACAGTCACGCCTTTCACACACTTCACCACACACTCTTTTTATGTATATATATATAAAGTGTGACTTGATTTTCGTAGAACAGTGCTCAATACATAGAAGTAGAGCGAAGTATATATATATATATATATATAGAAGTAGTGTGGCACACGAGGACGGACAACTTCGAGCGAAGGAAGACATATACTCAATAAAAAGTCTAAAAAGTTTAATAAAAAACGTTTCGGTCCGAGACCTTCATCAGTTGTAATACAATGACTTAAAAATTCCTTAAATAGATTTATGTAGGGCGTGGTAACACATATGAACAAACACAGTAATTACTACGCGAAAAATTATCACTATAAAAAGAAATGGAAAAATTGTCGAATCCACTGAAAATGTAAAGGAACCAGCGTTGACTTGAAAGGCGAGAATTGCACTAAGATTCCCAATTAACGCTAAGACTGGAACCTTTGATGCCCGCCCAATTTGAAAAAATTATCCGCATTAATTATAGTTTATTCTTTTAGGTATATATATATATATAGCGCTCCCGGAATATTTTCTTATCCCTGATGATGCCGTTGATCGCGAAAGCTCGGATTTACAGCAGTGTAAGGCTTCATTCGTTTAATTTGTATATATTTCCGCGCAACGTTTATCATAAAAGCTGTGTCCTGATTGGTCGATAGGTTAGCCAACTGACTCAACCACGCGTCACACATTTCCTGTTACATTTTACGTCATCAGTGTGAGCGTAGGCCTCAAGTCACGAAATTCTTAAGACATCTTTTTATCTTGCAAATTGTTGACCTGTTTCTAAATGGATAATAAACATCAAGAAAGCACATCTCTATTGTTCTCACTTTAAAGTAGCGTTTAACAATATGCTTGTCATTGTACTTTCATCCGATCATCTGGCTGGTTTGTTGTTTTCGTAGCACCGCCAAGACAAATTTTAAGATTTAGTAAACTCGAGGATTTGTTGAGCCGTTGTTGTTGTTGCGCAATAGCCGATGTTATAAAGGTGTGGCTGTTTTACTTGACCCTATCGAGGCAAACTGGTACTCAGCATCAGTTATGTCTTCACAAGGAATCTCTTCCTGTACAGGATGCCCAGTTTTTCTCCTACACCAATTATAAAATGGTTCTAATGATCCGGTAGTTCCTTCAGGACCGAAGATTCCCAGAATAGTTGTGAACAAAATGAGAGCGTAAATGATTGAGAGACCAATGGTACAAAACATGAAGATGCCAAACTGAAAGAAAAAGAGAATTTTAGCAGCTATCATGAATACAGATGCACCTAGTGACGTGCTTGCTCCTGACAGCACGGAGATTCCCACGTGATCTAGTGTGTCTCTGACTTTTTCCCGTCGCGTAGGCTTCTGGGATCTCACGTAGCCATCAGCAAGGTGAACTACATAATCGACAGCAAGTCCCACAACAAGAGTGAGATTCAGAGATTCAAGAACTCCAAGCTTCCATCCTGCCAGCGGTATAACACCAACAACGCCAACAGTAATACAAGCTATGATGGCTCCACAAAGCAAGCCTACCAGCCAGTTTGATGTCATGACAACTAAAAGCGATATTGCTAAACCAAGTCCAAGCAGGATGCCTCGCACAGCGGTTGATGCTAGCACCTAAGAGAAAACAAGGAAATGGAAGGGTCTTCGAACAAGATAAAAATCATATATATTGTAAGTAGCTGTTTATTTTAAAAACGAATCTTTCCATTTTGTCTGCTGAATCGCAGCTGAATTTGATAAGTATTGTTATTTTGTGAAGATAGGGCAGGTATTATCGATCAAAACTAATTTTACGTGTTATATTTTCCAAAAAAGTTACCTTTTTGACCTTTAACCAATGCCATGCGTTATGTCCAGTAGGAGTTGCTTGAAAGGCGTTGTTACAGGAGATTGGCATCGTCTTTGTCTTACCGCGTAAAGAGATATGTGTTAGTCTAGTTCGTACTTACAGGAGAACTTTTGTATTCTTATAATGTGACAACATATTTCATCATAAACAAGTAGACCGGAATTGATTACGTCTGTTGTAAAGCTGGAGTTTGCCTGAGTGCAGTACCGCGCGGTTTACAGCCCACAAGGGATGGATGGACTTACTGTCCTTGAATGCCAAATGAAACAAACATAATTAAGGTGCGATACTGAAAAGGTTGCGCTTTACGAAGTAATTTCAAATGGAAGATGTTTTACTGGGGACTGGTCAAAAAAGTATTTGGGGGTGGGGCTGGTGGGTCCTTCCTTTAGGCACAAAACTAACAGACCCATGCCTAAATGAAGGTTGAAAATAACACGACCCATCCCTTCATGAAATATCAATATCAATATATATATAGTCGTTAGTGGAACTCTCAAGCCAACAAAGGTGCACCGCGCTAGGAGGATCAATAAAGATTCGCAGTCCAAACCTCACAGCAAACACGAACGTAGAAAGTTTAAAAATTGCGAGGATGGACAACTTCTGATGTCAAAAATATAAAAAATTTTAATAAAAAACGTTTCGGTCAGAGACCTTCTTCAGTTCTTTTCAACTTTTGAAATAAAAAAAGAGCATTAAATAGGATCGAAGTGCTAATGATTACGTAATTACAGATAACGACTAATGAACTGGTGCTAATAAAAAGATAACAGAAAACCTAATTACAAGCAAATTCTATTTTTCGAATGAAATTCCTTTCTTTTATTCAAACCATGGGGTGCCAAAGAGAACAACTGAGCACTCCAATAAGCCTCTTTTGTGCTTGGCAGGGCCTCTGAGTCCAATCCACACCTAAAGGGCCGACAAAATCCAAGAAAAGGGCCTTTGAACGATCAATTAGTAGCGCCTAATATAAGATGGAAAATTAATTATAGCAAATTCTATTTTTCGAATGAAATTCCTTTCTTTTATTCAAACCATGGGGTGCCAAAGAGAACAACTGAGCACTCCAATAAGCCTCTTTTGTGATTAAAAGCCTATCGATCTCTACAGAGCCACTAGGGGCCTGTACCTGATCAATGCACTGGAACGAAAAATCGTCCGGGTGTGTGGGGTTTCGTTAAAGTGTATCGCTACTTCACAAGTTGTTTTGTTTGTGAGCATAGCAGATTTGTAATTCGAAATCTCACTTTAAAGTCGGTAGTAGTAGATCCCACGTATTGCAGGCGATATTTCTTGCAAGAATCCAAGTAAATCACATTTTTAGAATCACAGGAAAGTCTAGAGTGAATGGTGTAATTTTTGCCTGTCTGAAAGCTGAGAAGTGATTTAGATTCAACAAAGAAATTCTGACAGAGGTCGCATCTTTTCCTATCACATTTAAAGCAGCCATTGTTATGAGGAATGGTTTTTCTCTCGCTGGCAGTTTTAAAACGAGATGGTGCAAACACTTCTTTGAGATTTTTCGATCGACGAAAAGATGGTATGATAGAAACTGAGGAAAAAGTTCTTTCAATTTGAGGTTAGATTGCAGAATAAAAAAATTCTTTCTGATTATGTTGCCTACGTCGGGCAAGTTGGGATTCAATTTAATAACAAATGGAAACAGTTTCTTCGTTTCTTTTCCACGAGTCCTGAGTAAATTATTTCTAGGGATGGCGCAGACTTTGGAGAATTGTTTAGAAACTAATTTAGAAGGGTAACCCTGGTTAACAAGGTACTCTTTGTACTCAGCTGTTCTCTCGGAAAAAAATACTTCTTCAGAGCAATTTTCTTTTCAATTTTCTTATTTCAATTTGAGGTTAGATTGCAGAATAAAAAAATTCTTTCTGATTATGTTGCCTACGTCGGGCATTTTCTTATTTTTTCTTATTAGCACCAGTTCATTAGTCGTTATCTGTAATTACGTAATCATTAGTACTTCGATCCTATTTAATGCTCTTTTTTATTTCAAAAGTTGTAAAGAACTGAAGAAGGTCTCTGAGCGAAACGTTTTTTCTTAAAATTTTTTATATTTTTGACGTCAGAAGTTGTCCATCCACGCAATTTTTAAACTTTCTCTATATATATAGCTCACTAGGCTCTCCTAGTTTGAGCACTCTGGCATGGCTGAGAAGATACCAAAATTGTGGGATCGTTCGGGGTAACCATATCGGTTCTCCCCCATCCTAGAATCAGCACTGCACTGATGAGGCCCAGAAGGCCGAAACTGTACTGTCTGCAATTCTATATATATATATTGGTTGAATCTAATTCCTTTTTAAGTTTTCAAACAGGCAAGAGTTACAAGATACGATCGAAACTTTCCTGTGATTCTAAGAACATAATTTATTTGGCTTCGTGCAAGAAATGTCACCTACAATACATTGGTTCCACAACAAATGACTTTTAGAGTTAGATTTCGCAACCACAAGTCTGCTATGGTCACTAAGAAAAAGACCTGTGAAGTAGCGGTACATTTTAACAAAACACCACATGATTTAAGCGATTTCTCATTCCAATGCATTGATCAAGTGCAGGCGACAGTAAACAATTCAGGTAACATCGAGAAACTTCTAATTACCAAAGAAGCATATTGGAGCGCACAGTTGTTCTCTCTGGCACCCTTCGGCTTGAATAAGCGCCAGGAATTTCACTCCAAAAAAAGAATAAACTATAATTAATGCGGAGAATTTTTTCAAATTGGGCGGGCATCAAAGGTCCCAGTCTCAGCGTTGATTGGGAATTTTAGTACAATTCTCGCCTTTCAAGTCAACGCTGGTTCCTTAACATTTTCAGTGGATTCGACAATTTTTCCATTTCTTTTTATTGTGATAATTTTTCGCGTAGTAATTACTGTGTTTGTTTATATGTGTCATCACGCCCTATATAAATCTATTTAAGGAATTTGTAAGTCATTGTATTACAACTGATGAAGGTCTCGGACCGAAACGTATTTTATTAAACTTTCTTAGACTTTTTATTTGAGTATATGTCTTTCTTAGCTCGAAGTTGTCCGTCCTCGTGTACTACAATATTTTTCCTACTATTTATCGAGGTTTGGACTGTGAATCCCCTTGGATCCTTCTGGCGTGGCGTCACCCTTGGCTCGAGGCCTTTTAACTTGTTATATATATATATATATATATATAAAATAAATGTTTGAAAAGAACATTTGCCCTGAGCGGGATTTGAACCCACGTCCCTCCTGTTACTAGTCAGGTGTGATGACCACTACACTATCAGGACAACCATGCTGGCAACACGGCAATCAAAGATGTGATTTACGTGATCGGAGACGTGGTCTCCCGGGAAATTTAACTTTTCAAGGTGACCGGGTAGGGGAAGCCTATAACCCCATATGAAACCCAACTAAGGATCTATTAAAGATACACGACCGAAGTCAACTTAGCGGAT